TATACATTGATCCACGTGTGAGCATACCTCGCGATTACGTCCAGTTGGTTGATTTCCATGGTCACCTGATCGCCTTTGCCCTGGAATACGGGTTTGCCCATAAGCAATTCACCAAATATGCACCCGGCACTCCACATGTCTATTTCCGGTCCATAGGACTCCTGTCCTAAAAGTAGTTCAGGAGGTCTATACCATATCTGTCGTGAGTATACAGTGAGGATGGTAGGACATCTTGTTAGGGTTGGGTATTGGGGAAAGGACATATACATATAGCACTATGTATATGTGAAGTTTTAGACAAGTTACACCCAGTTCTCCTTGTGTTTATTTTTGGGCCGAAAAAGTCCTGCCCTGATTGTACTTCGTGGGGCGTATACTATTATTTAGGTTAAAATGTCCTGTAAATGATTATATTATACAATATGGAGACCTGTGAAAAATCGTAATATAAAATATGCATGAATATGTATAAGTACCTGCACATTCACATGTACTTGCACATTAATACGTACGTTTAGACGCACATATGTATTTACATTACCATACGCATATGTATATAAATTTACAATTTACATACCGTTTGCACACACACACACACATACACACACACGCACATAAATATATATATATATATACACATATATATATGTATATATATATATATATATATAATCAATCACACGTCTATGTCTGTACACTGAAATACCTACCGTCACGACATTGTTTGTGTATAAATGTTCTTTATCGTCCTTGATCTCTTTGCCCAATCCAAAATCGGCTATTTTTAGATGACCAGTTGGAGTGAGCAGTAGGTTTGAAGCTGTTATGTAAAAAAAAAAATCAAAAAATCGTAGAAGTATTTGAAGCAGATGTGATATAGAAAAAAATAGTACAGCAATTAATAGTCAATAATCCGAATATCTTCCTAAACTCTAGACCCTTAAAACCTAAGACTCCACAAAACCCAAATTTATTAAAAAAACAAACCCCCAAAACTTGGTCTGAAACATATACGTGTATGTAGGTATATACAATCGTACGTACATACAAGATTCATTCAATTTGTATACGTGCAAAACTATAACAACGTACCTTTGAGGTTGGAGGACATAATTTCCATTATATATGTTTGTATATGTATATGTATAAGTATAAGTATATGTACATGTATATGATATGTATATATATATGTATATTTATACATATACATGTATATGTATATGTATATGTATATGTCTATGATATGTATATGTATAAATATATATAAAATTCAAATAAATACATGTGTATCTTTATATATATGCACATGAATAAATACATACATACAGATACACACAAATACACACACACATATATATATATATATATATATAGATACTTTTTGAGTGACATTCGAGTGAAGAACAACGTACCTTTAAGATCACGGTGCATAATCTTCATCTTGTGGCAGTAATCCAAGCCTTCCAGTAGTTGAAACATGATATACCAAGCCTGATCTTCATCGAATACCACAGAATCCTATACAAGCCAGTAGTAAGACATAACATGGATTCGTTACAGAGCAGGTGGGATGGGAACACCCATGCATAGAATATGTATGTACTTGTATTTGCATATAATATACGTATATATATTAGTATGTGTGATATACAAGATTGCTTGTATACCGGTATTCGCATATAACATACGTACAACATTAAAATGAGAAACCAGGACTGGTTGCAATTGGTCAGATATAGTCGTGCTTGATATATACTGCCTACAACCGAATCCCGTACGGGAAGATATATATATATATATACATATATATATATATATACATATACATTAATATATATATATACGTATAAACATATA